AGTCACCAAATAGTCTCTGTGCAGCTGAAGTTAGAACAGACCCCATCGGTCTGGCAAGAGGCAGAGACACATTTTAAATCTCATTGCAGTAACTCTGCTGCAGTTAGAACACATACCCTGATTAAAAGAGAAAAAACTGAAATGTGTCTAATTAAGAGCCTACCCACAGTTTTTGAAAATGGTTCATATTTTTCAGGGTTTATGTAGATTTTGAAGAGATAGCAGCACATTCCTAAGTGCTCTGTGCACAGGAACAGATTCCAGCAATTCCAAGGCTGAAGGTCAGATTTGCTGAGTGTAGTGTTTCATTAGTACCACTCTACTGAAAGAGTGGTTTCAGTCTGTGCTGGAAAATGCCCCAGCATATGCTGGCCTCAGCTCAGCCATCTCCGTTTCTATTGCAAGTTGAAGACAAGCCCTTAGAGAGAAGCATGAGAGATGCTGGATCCACCAAAATTYATGACAGCTGTCTGTCTGGGGATTTCTCGAGTTAGCAATCACACCTGGACCATCACGTTCTGCAGAGGCCAACGACCATGCTCTCTGCTATTTCATTTAATCTCCTTTTGTACCAAGACCTTTGGTCTCTGCAGCATCCTGTAGAATCCTGCAGTTCAAGCATGCAAAAGAGTGCTTCCTTTACGTTTTTTTCCTGATAATTTTACTGGGATCCCACTGATTCTGGGAGTGTTGTGAAACAGTGATTCAAGACTTTCCATTCACCTTCAGCATTTTATGTTTATGCTTCCCATACCAGTGGATTCTCTTCCAAATTGGAATGTTTTGGTTTCTGTAGCCACTCTACTGCTCTACCTAGATTTTTACCTGGATGTCTTACAAACAATGGTCCTTCCATTCTACCTTTATGACCAGCTGTCACACCTGGGGTGACCACTGCATCAGCTGATGAAAAAATAGTCCCCAGTCTTCCTTTAGTCAGATCCTCCCACAGAGGCATCCTCTTTTTCCTTTCCTCCCTGTCCTTTTTCAGTGCCTGTTTGCCCTCTCAATCTGGGGCCTTGTTCAGACCCCAGGACACGTTCCCTTACCAAAATAGATGAGAGAGGGAAGACTGTGAATGTTGGTGGGATGTAAAGGTTTACAATTACCAATGTCAAACCATAGGCTATATAAACAGTTTGTTGCCTGTTTCTCACTCAAGGTACTTTTAGGTTAATAAAAGAAACCCTCAAATTTAGTAATGAATTATATATGCCATGTACATGCTATTAAGTCTAAATTAGCCATATACTATTTCATTATTTATGTATGTCGGTCATGCCAACTCAAGTTAGGAAGACTTCATGTGAAGGTCTGTGGTCTGAGCCTGTGAGCAAGGTAGTTTATTATCCCTCTTCCAGGACTGCTACCTTGCAGGAGACAAGAACATCATCACAGGAGTACATCTGACCCTTCTGAGTTCATGTCTCAGAGCAAAATTTGGGAAAGCTGGAAAACAAATGGAACAAAACAGGATGAAATATTTACTATTGTGTCCACACAAAGTGCTGAATTCTGATTACAGCTTTTCCCAGAACAATTCGGATAAATGAAAACAGTTTTTGACAAAGTGGAGATGCAATGTTCTTGGGCAAAAGAATAGCTGCCTGATCTATTAGTCAAAATTCCAGCTTGGACAAAAATATTTTCCCATTCAGGACCGAATTACATGCTGCTGTCTGTAGGGTTAGTGTTCCTCTCACAGGGTGAAAATTTCTGAAGCCTATTCAGCAGTATTTACATGAAGAACTGCTGGAGCACCGTCACGGGGAAATTTTTCAAAGGGCAGGGGGGTGCTTCCACATTAGCACTTCAGAACAGGGAGGCTGACCATGAGATCTGATCTCTAGGATGGCTGCACCCATAGCTGCAGCACCAGTGTTTTTCCACCCCTGTTTGCTCCCTCTCAGCAGCCACCATGAATAACAAGCAGGAAAAACAGAGGCAGATTTTGAAGAGAAATGAGGGCAGTGGTGGGGGGAGGGAGGCGGGCCCGGCTTGTGCAAGAGTGGGTATAAAAGGGAGAGCCAAGCACCCCTCCAAAATCAGAGAGTGGGGCACCAGGAGAGCACACACATCACTGCTGAAGAACAGGTTTGAGAGGTCTGTGTTTGTACCTTTACTGTGGCTGCTGCAGGGAGACATTAATTAGGAAACCTGCACGGGCCACAGGCTTGTGTTAGATACGGGGTGCTTGTAGGAACAGCCTTGTTTTCACCTTCTTTGGTTCCTTGTTGGCAGAAAGCTTTTTGCCCAAATTTGGCCCAGTTCAGGTTTTCTTTCACAGCTCCCTTTAAGGGGCAAAATCTTTGGACACCAGAGCTGAAGGGCAGGAAAGAGACTTTGTTTTCTAAAGTCGAAGCTCTATCTTTAAGCACACATTTGCTTCTAAAACCATTGTAACCCAACAAAAAAAGCCTGGCAGCAGAGTCCACATACAGTAATTGGAATAATGTTCATGCACTCCTGCTTAAAAATGGCTAAGAAGTAAAATGAAAGACTAACTGTAATTAAGTACTACTAGGATAAAATGTGTTGCGGGTGTATGTTCTTCATAGTCTGAAACCTTCTCCTTTAGAAGGAAATGTTAGAAGATAAAAGACAAAGATCTAAGATGCATGCTGGTGTGCGATGCATCCTAATAGGGGAATATGAATTGAGTGAGCATAAGAGACTGGTGAATGAGAGAAGGAACTGTGTCTGAGCTTTGTAGTAGTGCATGAACATAAAGTGAAATCAAAGGTTCTCCCTCATTACTGGGGCCAGCCAAATTCCCAGTGGCCAGAAGCAGGAGGGTGAAACATCCCTGTGGTGAAACATTTCCTGATGAAACTTCGTTTTCTGGAGAAGTAGGCATTTTAATTAGGTTATTTTATTGTTGGGGTGGCAAGGGTGGGGGGCAAAAGGTAGACTTCTGTGCTCCCTAAAGACTGACAACTTTTTTATCAACAGGAAATAATAGAACAGAGTGCGCAAACACTGAAAGAGACCCAAAGGTCAACTTGGCTCAACACCCTGAGAAAGTTCAACTAACTGAACTTTCTTTATGTGACAGAGCCACTAGACCAGCATGCTGCAGTTGTTGTTCAGGTGCCTCCTGCTCCCTCCCTTCTTCAAGCCAGCATTCTCTGTCMGGGATGCCTGACACAGGGCTGGTACTTGCAGCAAAAGGATACCAGGAGCTGCAGCGCACCTTGGTCATGACCTTCAGGGGAGGTGGAAGCAGGAGATACCCAAACAACAACATCCTCTGGATTCTACAGCACAAAGGCATAGTGATTTAAGGAAAAAAAAATACAGCGGCTGAGGTTTTTGTGATTTCAGTGTTTATTGTCCACAGCAAACAGGTATGTCTGACAACTGTACTATATGTTATTAGTGTCACTCATAGCTTATTAGCCAAAGCCAGTAATTCTTTTTAATTAGGATACTTTTCAGAGTTTTATGAAACAAAGGTGCCCTTCCATGAAACAGCCTTTATTTTTGTGTCCCCAATACAGAGATTATTGGACTGAGTTTTCATTTTGCCTGTGTTCAAGCCTCATCTAGGGGTACACAGCAGACCAGCTACAGCTCACAGGCACAGTGGGGTCTGGCCATTTGTGCACTGCCCAATGCCTCAGGTGGTGGTGCAGGAGATTTGGGTTGTGCTCACATCCCACCCGCCGCTCCACTGGCCTCTGAGGGACCAGCTGTCTCCCTAGGTCTGCCTGTGGGAAGGACTCTCCAGGGCAGACAGGAAAGAAGGGGGACTGCAACCTGAAATCTAACTTGCTGTCTTAGCATTTAGCTGAGTTATTAATATGCATTTTTCATGGAGGAATGCCTTCTCCCTTTGCCTGTATCCTTTGATGGGCTAGAAGCATTTTAGAGCTGTCTGGAGATGGTAAAAATGCTCAGGGATTGTTCTGTGGCCAGATGCTTCCTCAACTGAGATGCTCAGGCAGCAAGAGGACAAAACCCCTTGAATATTTCAAGGTGTTTGTTTAAGCCTTCAGTGCATGATAGCATGGTATACAAGCCTGGGTTCAGAAACACTTTTGGACCTCATTAAAGTGAAGGTATTCAGATTGTTTAAATGAAAAGCAGGACTGCAGAGACAGAAATTTCTCATCTCTTTGGCATTAGGCACCTGGCAAAGAGCCCTTGAGCTGGCAGGACTCAGCTGTTTCTGTCTCCACGTTCATCTACAGCAGCTCCAGCTGCCCCGGAACATTGAAAATATCCCTCTGTCTCAGCTCTTTCCTTGAATCCAACGTGTAGCTGGGCACTGCAGTACCAGTCATGCCTGACTGGCCCTCTGAAATTGAAGCACAGATGATAAATCAGCCCTACTGGTGTTAGAGCCATGAGATCTTAATTACAAAGAATAACAGGGTCATTGAACAAGACCCAGTCTAACCAATTGCTTTATCCCTGCTTTGATTCACTGTTTATTTGCTTAAATAGGAAGAAAGGGCACACCAAGATTGAAAGATTGTTTCAAAAGTAGCAGAAAGATCTGCAAATCCCAACCCCTTTTCCCAAACAGGTCTTGGGAGGCTGAGACAGGGAGGGATGAAGTCTTTGTGATCCAGCTCTGGCAACCTCACCTATCTGGCTTTCATCGTCTCCATTTCAACACATTTTGTTGAAGAGGAGAAAGAACAAAGCCTTAACATTTTGAACAGATCAAGAGGGAAAGAAGGGGTAAAAATTGAGAGCTTAATCACTTTATTCTGCAGTAGCATACATGCCTCATACACTGGTGAGTCCTCAGGCTGCAAGGTAGAGATTAAAGGCAATTTATCTGTGAAGACAAAAATCTGATTCAACTGTACAGCAAATATAAGTATAAAGAAACCTGTGCTCCTTTCAGTCTGGCAGAAAATGGGGTATTTTCAGCTCCTATAATCAGTTATTCTGCATGGTAAGATGCCTGTGTCTGTCCTAGTAAATGTGTAACTGCAGGGTATACAGGTGTGGTGGGTCTGGTTAAAGGTTGTGTGTCCATCCCTGGAACTTTCTATGCAGCCGGTGTTGAGCCGGGCTGAGGTTTCATTGGGCTCAGTCCGGCCTGAGGTCGCTTTTCTTGGCCCCCCAGGCTGTGATGTAAAGCAGCTTTGCGCAATGCTGCCGGTGGGGAAAGGGCAGCATTCCGCCCGCAGTCCCACCGCCCCGGGGCGGGGAGAGGTGTCCTGAGGAGCTCGCCGGAGGGACAGTAACGTCGGAGGGCTCGGGGAGCGGGGACACCCCCAGGACAGAGGCGAGTAACCACTCTTACTGGATTTCCTTTGAATGTTACTTTTTCGACTCAGATGTTCATGCTTTTCTAAAGGCTCCGGGCTCTCTTCTTTAGAAAAATAAACCACGCTGGTTTTCCACAGATGGGTCTTAGGGTAAGGGCTTGGCAGTGAGAATTGCTCCTCTTGATTCTACTCATGGAACAAACGCTGACAGTGGGGCTCTGGCAGCCAGGGAGAAGTAACCATGCATGCCAATGGTGCCTAATGGCACAGCCTGCCTGAGTGGCACAGGGTCACCTTCCCTGCTGTGCAGGAAAGATTAAGTAATGCCTCAAAAGAATTGTATGATGGAGAAAACAGTGTGGGGAGGGCATTTCTTCTAATTTGTGTCTTTTTGCTTCGTTTTCCTGAGCATCTCAATATGAAAAATCTGTAGAATAGTCTGGAAATCCACTAGCTGTGAAAGCAAAGTTGGGAAGGCACCTCCCGAGATAATTTTTTAATCAGCCATAAGCAGTGAATAAGCTCTGTCATGCATGCCACCAGCTACCAGTGGGGTTGGGGAGGTCAGGAGGAGGCAGGGAGCAGAGAGGACAGCAGTACAACTGTGCTGCCCATACAGTAATTTAGAAGATGAAGTGGGAGTTAACGGGAATGAACAATTCCTGGGTGAAGGCATGGGGACAAAGACCTACAGCAGGTCTTCCCCTGCATTGCCTCTGAGGAGTGAATAGTTTCAGGCTTGACCCACAGGCATTCAGTACAAAGACACTTAGACATCCTGAGTGACCACCACAGCAACAGAAACTCCATTTGCAAACCCAACAGTTAGATGGGAGTCTACAGCCTGGGAATGTAGACATGTACATTAGCAGGCATATGTACTTAGCAAGGTATGTCTAGTTACCAAGCATCTGCACAGATCCATTTTTATATGTGCAAGAGAGTGGTGACACTGCAAACTGGGATACTGTCAGGCATGAAATAGGGGAAAGAATATGATTATACATTGTAAATCAGGCTGGGAAGTTGCCAGGTCTTGAATGACTGGATTTAAACCCAAGGACTTCCACCCTGTGTAAAGTGCTGATGAGACAGGCATAGCTCTGTGTCCTCTCAAAAGGCTCAAGCTACCAGAATTACAAAACATGGCAGACTGGTGCAACTCAACAAAGCATTGGAGAAAGCAGAGAGCAGAGAGCTTGGGTACTGGCAAGGCTGATAGCATTTTGCCCATCCAATGAGCTCTGCAGAACTTGGAATGGGTGAAAGAGGGTGGACAAAGCTGCAACAAACAAGGAATTACTAGTAGAATAGAAGTACAGCTCGGAATAATAGCATTTTGGCTGATGGTAAGGGTTACAGATGCATCATTTCCATTGCATCTGGATTTCAAAATGCAGATTAAAAGTTGTATACTAGAAATCCAAGAAAGGTACAGCAAAGCTATTAGTTATCAAAAAAATGGATAAAGGAAAAGAGAATTCTAAAAGATTTTAAACTTTTAGTTTAAACTTTTAGTTTTAAACTTTTAGTTAGTGGATGTACATGTGTGTGTGTGTATGTGGGCCCATGACATTCTCATTCCCACTATGTACTAGATTCCTTTGTGCCCAAAACCAGTGACATCCACATACAATAGAATTCTCTGCTTCTTGTAAGGAAAAACAAGAGCAGCAGGTCATCTTTTACCTCAGGAGAAGACTGCTTGCACAGCAGAATAAAACTCAGCCTATCCCTTCTAACTCTGTATTCAGATATGGAAGGTACAATGAAAATGGGTTTCAGCATTAGCACATTTGTGTAAGGGAGACTGGGGTGTGTTTCCCTAGAAACTAGAATGAATGTTTGCACTGTGCTGTGAAAACATAACATGCCCTGCTACTGCCAAGTATTTTGCTGACTAGACACCCAAAGCAGGATTGTTCTGTCTTAAGAGAACTGGTTTCCAAACCCACTTCCCACATAACAGCAGGCACATTGCTTAGCCCGTCTGTGTATCAGCAAGGCTCAGTGCAGCAGTTTTCAGAGATGCCTCTGACCAGGCACCAGGAACAAATGTTGTTGCATTTTTTGCAAAACAAGGTTTTGTAGAAGTTGCATGCTCTGGTTAGTGCGCATAAGCAGTTTGCACAGCCATGCTAAATCCCTAGAGTACTGCAGTGGGTGACAGTCACATTTGTGCTTACCATTTCCCCACCTGCTGCCATAGAAACTGGTGTCTGTCTCATCGTGGGCTTTTCAGGGGCAGAGTCAGACCAAGCACCACTAAATATGGAAATTCCCATCTTTGTAACTCCAACGCAGCACTAGCACTTCACCCTGCAATTAAGAGAAGCTGTACTTAAAACAGGCTGACCAGTCTCCTTTCCTCCGCATTTTTTCTTTCAGCAGACACCGTGGAGGCAATTTTCCAACATGACTCTGGTAGCAGATATTCTCTGTTTGTTGGCTTGCCTTATTGTGGTGACTTGTGACCGGGTCTATGTCCACCCTTTCAACTTGTTTTCTTTCAAGAAGAGTGACTGTGACAGGCTTGAAAAATTGGTTCAGGAGGGAAAGACTATTGTCCCTGTCTCCACTGAGTTCCAAAGCATACCTGAATATGAAGGTGACATGACCGACAGCAAGTTGGAAGTTCCAAGCATCAATGCCTGGGGGAAGGAGGAACGGGGCTACCTGAGGGACCTGGTGTATGTCCTGGGTATGCGGTTTTACAGCGCGCTGCAGAAAGCAGAGAGGGACCAAAATGTTCTCCTGTCTCCAACCAGCCTCTACAGCTCCTTGGTGTCCTTCTACTTGGGCGCCTCAAACCAGACAGCACTTGATCTGCAGGGTTTGCTGGGGTTTGTTCCCCCCTCTGGAAACCCTGACTGCACTTCCACGGCAATCGGAAAGATTTTCCTTTCCAACCTGAGGACGATTGAAAGGCTTGTGAACACTGAGCATGAAGATCTGCTCTTTTCCAAGACACTGAGCCTGTTCTCTGCCCCTGGCATACCACTGTTCCAGCTGTTCGTGGAGAACTTGCTCCCCAACGTCGATGCCTTCTACGCCCGAGCTGTTGACTTTACAAATCCAGGCGAGGCAGCAAAACAAATAAATGCCTTTGTGGAGGCCAAGAGCAAGGGTCAAAGCAAGGGCTTACTGGCAGACATCGACCCATCTGCCGAGTTGCTGTTTGCAATGGACGCCCGCTTGGCAGGTACGAGGCAGCCCCGCTCATTTTGGGAACAGGCAGGGTGAAGGATGGGCAGTAACCCTGCTCCCAGGAAGGAAGCAAGGTCACGCCTGGCCGGTGGGGAATGGGAAGGGCTCAGGTGAAAGGCTGGACCTCTGCTCCCCACCGCTGTGCCAGGGGTCCTGCCTGCACTCTGCCATGAGCCATCAAGGGTAACCGGGAAGGAGGAGGAGGGAGATGGCCTCCGAGGAATTTTCATTGTGCAGGAAACTTAAGGATTAGGAAAGGTGTGGAAAGATGCATGAGAAAGAATTGTGCAAAGGAACTAAATGTCATAAGCGGTCTCCAACCAAAATGACAATGAAGTAGATTTAAAGGCAGCCAGAGGAGCTGTGGGTAGCAGGCCAGAGGTACAGATACAAAAAAGGCTAAAAAATACAATGGAGATGACTTCTCTAGTGGCTATTAAACACAGAAGTCTGGAGACAACATCTGTCTTAGGAACCAAAAGTTTTATCAGTTATGGAAACAGGGCAGCTTGCACAAATCTAGAAGAAATAAGGCAATTATTTTCATTGACTGTTCATTACCTAGGGTCATTCCATGCTGCTGTCCCAGAAATCCCCCTGCACTGCAACTGAGCCTTCTCTTCTGAGTGTAGCTGCTTTCCTAGATCCTCTTGACTGAATGCAATACTAAAGGCTGCGCATCTCAGGCAGCTTGCCTAGGTGTGACAATATTTCAGAAAATTTTCAGTGTTTCAGTGAGCCCTAAGTTCCTGAGTGTGTCTATACTGCTAAAGGTCAAGTTGCAGTGCCCAGGAAGCACTTTTGTACCTCCATCTTCCCACTTCTAAACTGGATGTAAGGTTTTCTTTGCCTTTCATAGGTGCTGTCATTCTCTTAGCGAGCTGTGGGCATCAGCTTTCTCTTCTTTGCAAAAGTAACTGTGTTGCAGAACTTGGGCATGGTCACAAGAGCAGAGTTTACCTTTAGTAGAACCACTTTTTCCTCTTGTTCTGTATTGAAAACTTGTAATTTGTATAAGCTTAGAAACACAGGCTCAAGGGTCGAACTCACTGGGTCAGGTCTTTCTCTCAGAAAGGTGCATTTGAGATGTTGTAGTCTCCACACGTGGGATGGATAAAATTGGCTCAAGAACAAAAGAATTACATAAGCAGCTATCTTCTAATAAACACATAATGTGACTTTAGCATTTGCTTTGCCATTTGGTTGTGAAGGGCATCCATGACAGCTGATGCGGTCAAGCTCCATTTCTGTCCCTACAGCTGCAAAAAGCAGAAAGTATATTTTTTTTCTCTGAAACATGTTATATAAGCTCTGAGAATGCTATTAACAGCCAGCAGATTGATGAAGTGACAGAAATCAACACAAAATAAGAGCTAATATTCCTGTGGTCTCAAGTGTTGTTCACTTGCACACAGTTTTTTTCACATTTGCACACTTGCTGCCAAGCAGGGTCTGCCATTCCTAATTCAATGCAGAATACCAGGTTCAAGTTTCACTGATCAACATGGTGTTTAGTTTTTTGTGGGTTTTTATTTAGGTGCAAAGTAATTGCAAAACGTATGAGAATAGCACTGTGGGACTGCACAACCTTAAGCACCCCTCCTGTTTAAACTCTCTTGAACAGACAATTTGCAAGTACTTCATTTTTAACTTAAAATTTGTTAGGATGTCTTTTGGGGGTTTTTTGTTGCTTGTTTTTTGTTTTTTAAGTGAAGACTTTCCACAGTAAGTCATGTTCTCTATAAATTTGTCAGGCTGACATAAAGCATGTATTGAACATGGAGTTCATCACCTGAAGCAGAGAGATCCAACGTTTCTTTCCTGCACTCCCAAGTCAGTACTACAGAGTGCTCTTTTACTCTCCCAGGCTCCATCTCTGCCTTGACTAACAGTATTTTTTTACCTCAGTCATCATCTCCATACTGTAGGCATAGATTTCTTATTGTTACAAAAAAATAAAATAAAAAGGGGAACAACTCTACCTCCTTATTCTGTTTTGCTTACACTTTCCCCATCTCCAACCTGCTGCTTCCTTTGGTGAAGTTACAGTAGGTCAAAGTGCCTAAATGCTCTTTCAATGCAAGTTCATTTAGAAGGCAAGTGTTCATATGATTTAAAACAAAACCTTACTGCATATTAAATATGTTAGCGTGCAGCTATTATCTGGATTTATTGCAGGACAGATTAGTTGAAATCTAGACCAGCTTTTATTTTAAATTAATACACCAATATTAATTAATTTAATGGAAGGAGTTACTACAAAATATACATCTGTTTTCCTAATTCCGTAATTCCACCAAAGAATTTCAAGATTTTTAATCTCTGCTATTCTTGCACAGGTATATATGTTTACAGTAGATAAATGTGATTTTATACACGCAGTCCTTCTCTAAGGCACAATGTGTTGTTCTTAAAAGCAACGTCTAAGGGGAAGAAGGAGGGAAAAAAGACAAAAATYAATTTCTCCTTTCTCAATCTCCTTTTCAGTGAATGTTACGCAAGCCTTCCAGCTTAAAGAGCCTCAGGAATTCTGGGTGGATTCAAACACAAAGGTCTCGGTCCCTATGCTGTCAATCACGGGGACATTCAAGTACAAAACTGATGCCAATGGGACCTTTTCTGTGGTGGAAGTCCCTATCAGCAACACAGTGCTGCTGGTACTGCTGCAGCCCATCAATGGCAGCGACCTGGAGCACATGGAGCCCGAGCTGACATGGCAGTCCTCAGCCTGGTTCCAGCAGCTGTCCTCAAGGTAGGGAAGGGGGAACATGCACCCTCCCATCGAGCTGGATGGGATGGGCTGAGCCACACAGGTCTGCCTGCTCACTTGGCATTGGATCCTACCAGGGAAGCCTTTCTACCAATCACAAAGTGAAACCCCTGCACACCCAAGGGCTTCACTTCCAAGGAGCTTGACTTCGGTGGGATTAGCTTTTCATCTGGGGTGTTTCAAAGAAAGGAGCAAGTCCCTTTGCATTCCACCTATGAAGTGGGATGGTCTGGGGTTTAGCAGCAGATCCAGGGTGAAGTCTGGGTGAATTCACACCTGGAAACAATAATGGGGCTCCCATTGTGTCTGGGCCCACACACCCAGCATTTCTTGCAGGTGTTTTCACATGTCCATTCCCCAGGATGCCCAACCACAATGCTTTCACAGCGACAAACAAGCACTCACATGCCTTTCTCCCTCTTTCTGCAGAGAAATTAAATTAACACTGCCAGCATTAATAATAGAAGACAGCTCTGATCTACAGGAGCTTCTTGCAGATATGGAACTGCCTGCACTGCTGGGGAAGGGGGCAGATTTCAGTAAGATAAGCAACGCCAGTCTAACAGTTGGAAAGGTACGGTACATATCACTGGCATTTAAAAAAAATATGCCTCCTACACAGTTTCAGCCTCCCAAGTAGAATAAATTTACCTAGAACAAAGCAGTCAGAACCACGTAGGGGACATATTTAGTAGGGGACTTGGTATCACCTTCAGCATATGTTTTGGATTGAGTAGGAGAACAATGTTGATAACACAGAGTTTCAGTTGTTGCCCAGTTGTGGGAGGAATGAACAGCTGCGTGGTACTGAGCTGCTGGCTGGGGTTAAACCATGACACAAGGGTAACAAGGTCACAGACCAGCCCACGGTACAAGCAGTTATACAGCTTTGGCACATGTTACAGAACAAGTACTCCTAAAACATATTTTTTTAAGCATCCATGGAGTACAATGTACTTTAGCATTTACTGAAACTCTCGTTAGTCCTGTCATGATTGTGCTCTGATGACTCCAGAGTTACTCATATGTTTTTCCTTATAGGTAATAAATAAAGCCTTTTTCAAACTGGCCAGCAATGGAACAGATCAGTCAGAAGACCCCGCAGCACAGAAGGATGATGGGGCATATCTGGATGTAATCCTGAACAAGCCATTCCTTTTTGCTGTTTTTGAAAAACAGTCAAGGGCAATGCTTTTTCTTGGCAGAGTAATAAACCCTCTGCACGAGGAGTAAATGCTAACACAGAGGATAAGAAATAAGGGGAACAATGCACATTTCCCATCACTTTTTTTCTTATTCATCAGATATTTCTGTGATTTGTTGAGTGCTCCACTTAGCTTTGAGATGAAGTAGTTAGTGTTTGAAATACAGCTTTTTGAAAGTTAACACCTTGCAACATTTCATCCTTGTTCATCTATTTCACGAGGTGACTCACACTCTTCCTCCAGCTTCCATTTTATTCTTTATCTCCCTTATGCTCCTAGTTCCCTTTGTGGATGGAGTAAGGCAGGGCAGCATTTCAATGCAAGGCATCAACTTAAAAAAATTGTTACATAAGCAACATTTACTATAGAAAGCCATAGAAAGGACCTCTCCATTCTCTAAAAAAGCTTTTTTAATTGTATAGTCAGTTTTGCAAGAGAGACSTGCTTTTTTGCATTAGAGAGGAGATTTTACCATTATCCACAGAGATTTCTAGCATCATCAGCAACATTTTCCTTTAAAGCACTGCCAACATCACAGACAGGCTTCGCTTGTCCCACTGGGACATGATTTTTTTCCCTTGGAAGCTGTTTAGGAACATGCTTAGAGGAAGTTTCTTCTTGCTGCAGCCTAGGTGGATATGTTCACCTCTTAGTTCTATGGAAATGCTAAAAATAAGGTTCGGTAGTATTAATGAACTGTGATGGATGAATTCTCAGGTTCTGACAGAATTATCTCTAATTTTTTTTTTTTTTATTTTTTTTATTTTTTTTTTTTTTAAATTTAAACTCTTTCCCTACACGACGAAAATCCAGTTTATGAAGGGATAGTTTCATTCATACTTTACATATGAATTTTTTTTTTTTTCGGAAAAAAACCAACAAGGTCTACAATTCCAATACGGTTCTATTTCTTGGATTACTTTATAACCTGTGAGGCATTTCTTACAGCCTGATAGCAAAAAAGGACATTACTGGTTAGAGTCCAGTTCTTTAACATATCCAAACCATATGTTCTTTAAAAATAGCATTAATGGCAATAATATATGTTAATATAAATAGTGGATGTGGTGCTGCTGCTTGTGAATAAAATCATTACAGTGGTCCAGTCCAACTCTTAACAGAGTCAAAAGTTAGAAACATTAAAGTGAAACAACAGATTATTAGATGGCTCTTGAATTAGGAAGTGAAGAATTGGGGGAGAGACCTTGGTATGAAGGAGAGCCTGTAACAAGGATTTCCACCTCTCATTTCTAGATTTATTGTTCGTACTGATGAAACTTAGAAAATAACTGCAAACCTCTTTGGCATATCATACAGCATGTATCCTACAGCACACAGCAGCTCGTTATCATCCACAGTGGTCAAAATGTGTATCTAATCTAAATGCACTAATGCCAGCAGCCTACTATCAGTGATGTAGATATGTGACATATCCTTGTAGTTTAATGAAAATGCCACAACATTATAAATAAAACAACCTTCAAGAATACTAGGATACAGCTTCCATGTATTTATTAATTTATACTGTATGCATTCCAGATGCTCTAACATCTAAATAATATACTTGTATTATATACAGAAGCAATTAAGTATGAATACACAAAGGTGGAAAGATTCAAAAAAACCCAATTCCAAGTTTCTTTGCCACAGTTCAGTTGGGCTTTCATCTGTAAATACGCCCTTGTTCTGGCTTCTGAAATCTGCTTCAAATCAGATTTATGTTTTTAAGACAGTAAGTTGCATATTATCAACCCCTACAGCCAATGGTACAGCTCTAAGCATGAAAGAAGCAGCTTCATACTAATTTAAATGTCATTCCATATACTCACTGAAGTAAGAAGGTAGCATCAGCTACAAATACATTGTCAGACATTTTTATGAAGAAGATGGAAAATAACAAAAGGGAGCTCCTGGACACACGGACAGGAAATTCAGGGAAAAATGCCTTTTTTCACAGGTGGGAGCTGCATGCCCTGGAAMTCTATACCCTGGTCAGTGGTTACAGGCAGAAAAACAAAACAAACAAAACAAACCCACCAAAAGAAGTTTTATAAAATAAATTTTGTAGGAGAGAGCACCTCGTCACTGACACCTTGGAGAAGAAATTGAAGAAGGGCAGAGACAGGGAAGCAGAATAAGGATTGTAAAGAGAAGTGCGAGGGCAACTGCTACAATATGAACAAGATAAGCTATCTGTACATGTACCCATTCTCCTAAATACTCAAATGATAAAACACAAAGCTAAATCACCACTCAATCCCAAACCCGAACAAAGTCTCAGTGCTTCCCCAAAAATGTATAACCGTCCTACAGGCTTTCTTTCTGACATCAGTGTTACATGAAAAAATTTTTACAGCATTCTCCACTCTTCACTCATCCCCAATTACACCAAATTCCTCTGTGAAGCACACCGTGAGGCACATTTTAAGCATCCTAGACACCCCTCATATACTGAGCTTGAAATGTAATCTACAGCCTAACAATTTAATCAATGGAGCAACTAATCTCTGGTTCCAAAAGGTGAAACTTTAGGAGAAAGAGAACAAAGGCAAGGATGATCTTTTCACGGATCATCAAACAGCACACTGTATTCCAAAAAATAGCTGATTATTTACTAACAGCAAAAAAAAAATACAAAAAATTTTAAAAATCTCTGCCGTTTGCTTACAAATCACTCCGCTTCAACGCTGAAAATATAATGGTTGACGGGAAAAGGAGAGTAAGCAAGAACTTTCATAGAAAAACGTTCGGTAAGGTGCTTCCATTGAATGAAGCCTTGTGGCTCATAAAGCGTGCAGAAGCAGATCTCGCACTGCAAGCAACATTTTGCAAAGGGCTTTTCCCCTTGTTCCCGACGCGTGACCACATGCAGGAAAGCGGGAAAGAGCAAAGTAGAGTGTTTGCAAACAAGAACTCTCGTGGGAATACGTGGTGCAATGTAAACACTCTAATTTGCTCTATCTTGCCTGCCTGCAAGCGCTCACGCGTGGGGAACAAGGGCAAAGGCTCTTTCAAAAAGTGCTTATCTCACTACGAGCAACCGCTTCTGCACGCTACGCACAGCGAAAGGCAGCACACCGTGGAAGCACCTTGCACCAAGTATTCCCACGAGAATTTTTGTTTGCAAACACTCTAATTTGCTCT